TCCTGGCGTTCGTGGGCCGGCTGGTCTGCGCAGCGGCGCGCCAGAGGCTGCAGCGGAGCGTTGGTCCAAATTACAGATTTTTTTGGTACGAAGCGCCAAATGCACAACAGCTGTAACGCACGTCCGTCATCTTCAACGTTTCCATCGCTGTGCACAGTTCGGGCACGGAGAACAGCAAGCTGTTGTCTGGGTTTTCGATGGATACGTAGATCGGCTGCCCCTGCCGCTGGCTGGGGGCGCGGTTGTGAAGCGCAACTCTCTTGAGGATTTTGATCGTGAACTCCACGACGTGGGTCGACACCACCTTGCGCGCAGACTGCCTGGCCCCAGACCAGAGCTTGCAAGGGGTCGCCAGGTGAACGTACCAGATCAGCCCGCTGTCGATCACAGCCATCAAGATCGCTTCCACGACAGAATTGCTGACGTCTGCCCACGGGCGATCGCCCTCCTTATTGTCGATGGGAACGAATACACCGAGGCCAGCCTCGACGCAGGCCCCAGACAAGCGCGCGCAACCTGCAAAAATCTCAATTACGAAACATGCTCCAACAAATGACGCTGCCAGACACGACGCCCTGAGGTAGGCACATCGCTTAACTTCATCATTACCAGTGGCTGCCCCTGGCTGGCCGCTGCCGTTCGCGTTCAAGCGAGCTTCCGCCACGCGCTGGCGCATCTCCTTCTTTGCTTCCTTGGTTGTTTCGTTTACGCGTTCCTTTGCCTCTGCCTTCGCTCTCGCGACTTTGGCAAGCATTTCACGCTTTGCGTCCTCCTCCGCGCTGCCCACCGCGCTGCCCACCGCGGCTGGCCTTTTCCGGGCAGCGGTGCCACTGGCTGCCGGCCCGGCTCCGCTCCCAGCTCGAAGAGGCATTTTCGCCGCCGGGCTATTGCTGACGTCGGTATGAACTGTCTCTGCGTCGCTGAACATTGTCTAAGGCATGTGTTGCTCTTTGCAAGTTTTGTGCCAAAGCGGCTAACATGGCGATGGCGATGATGGATGGTGAATCCGCCACCGTGCCCCTGGCACGTTGAGGCGTGCTAGAATGCCAGGTGCTGTCTGGTAGGGTTTCTGTAATATTCTAAGGGCCCCCCCCCTCTCCCGTGCGCACCCACCTGCATGCATCGCCCCCTCTTCCCGAGGCTCTGTTGGCGCCCAGATGCGCCCATGGCGCTCTCCAAGGCGTCCAAGACGGCCAAGATGGCTGCTAAGACGGACCTGGGAGGCCACCGAAGCCGCCAAGATGAACCAAGATGCCTCCAAAACGGCCCAAGAGGCACAAAAGAAGCCCCAAGAGCGCTCCAGGAGGACCCCCAAGAGGGCCCAAGAGCCTTTTCGAGCTCCCGACGCTCCAAGACGGCCCCCGGGGCCCCAAAGACCGCCCCAAGACGGCCCAAGAGGTTTCCAAGAGGGTCCAAAGACGGCCCAAGAGGGCCTCAAAACGGCCCAAGAGGCGCCCAAGACAGCCCAAGAGAGCCCCAAGACGGCCCCAAAAGAGGCCCAAGAGGGGGACCACGAACCGAAAATTCGAGCCTTCCGCCCGAAGAGGCCCCCAGGAGGCCCCAAGATGCCTCCAAGAAGCCCCAAGAGGCTCCCAAGAGGCCCCCAAGAGGCCCCCAGACGGCCCCCAGGAGGCCCCAAGAGGCCTTCAAGAAGCCCCAAGAGGCCCCCAAGAGGCCCCCAGCAGGCCCCCAAGAGGCCCCCAAGAGGCTTCAAACATGTCTCCAACAGACCCCCAAGAGGCCTCCCGCGATATCTTCGCGATCATCATCATCATCATCATCATCATCATCATCATCATAATCATCCTCATCATCATCATCATCATCATCACCATCAGCATCATCATCACCATCATCATCATACTCATACTCATACTCATCATCATCATACTCATCATCATCAGTATCATCATCATACTCATCATCATCATCATCATCATCTTCATCATCATCATCATAATCATCATAATCGTCGTCGTCGTCATCGTCATCATCATCAACAACATCAAAACTATCATCATCATCATCATCATCATCATCATCATTATCATGATCATCATCATGCCTATCATCACCATCATCATCACCATCATCATCATCAGCATCAGCATCAACATCATCATCATCGCTGTCATGTTGTTCATCCCTCGCGAGCGCGGCCTCCAGTGCCCCCTCGAACGAGAAACGCCGGGCATGCTGGAGTGGCACGGTGCTGGGACTTGCCGCAGGCAGCTGGATAGTTCTAGGAGGAGCGGATCGGGGAAGGAGGAGGGAATGGAGGAGGGGGAGGGGGTGTAGGACTGGACTGGCCTGGAACTCGGGGGGTCCAAGATGATCGCACAATGCAGCGAGAGCCTGGCAGCGCAGACTCCGTGACCGAACAAGTGTTCTGGATTCTGAGAGGGGGGGTAGGAGCAGGAGGAGGACAAAGATGAGGATTTATGATGATTTGTTTGCATTGCTCCGCGTTGTGACAAAAGTTGCTCCGCTTCACTGCGACTGCCACTGGCTGGTCGTCAACCCCACCTGAACCAGGTGTCCTTGGAGAATGTAAAATTGCTCCTCCACGCGAGCCACGGCCTCTCCTGGGTAATGATGTGCTCCGTGCCAGTGCCCGACACCTGCGCGTCCCAGGCGACCTGCCAGCACTTGTTCATCAGGTGGTCTGCTTTGATGAAGCGCAACAACTGCCTGTGACTGACGTTCTGGCAGGCGTCCTCCTCTGCCGTGGTGCTCTTTGAAGCGACCCAATGCCTCTCCCCGATTGGCTTGACCACGCGCCGGCCTGGCGCTCCGTTGGGCATGGGCTCGCAGGTGTGGTACTTTAGCTTGGCACTCGTCTTCCCGTCGAGTGCCATCTGAGTCATCAGTCCGTGGAGCGTGCGCCTCGATTCCCGTTTATCCGTGGACCGCCCGTCGGCCCCC